CGATCACTGAGGGGATCATATGACTTCGACTACTGTATTATGCTGACGATGACCCTCATGCTAAGTGATTGTGAATTTACGTGAGAATCAGGTGTTTCTGGGGGAAGAGGAGAAGATTAAAGCGAAAAAGGGAGACAGCCGATCCTCTGATCCCATTCCACACTCAGGTAACCTGCGTAGCAAGCGTTTCCGTGCGGTTTCGGAGCGAAGAACGAACGAGGAACGAGAGTCAAAGACCGCCCGAAAAAAAGGCATGAGTACAAATAAAAACAACCGACAAAAGCCTTATTTGCATAACCATGACTAATTATTGTAAAACATTTTGAAACATTACAGATCTCATTCATTCATTGATATTAATTTGTTTCTTAATTCAAAGCATTGGAGATTAATAAAACTAATTGACAGTTATTTATAATAAATAATTAGAAGAATTCATAAGATGAGCTATTAAAGTATCGTGTGAAAGTGATTTGAAGTTAAGTATTTGAAATTCTATTTTGGAGAAACATACGTCTCTAATCTTAGAACAGGCCTTACAATCTAGTAAGAAATGATTTTCATCTTTAATTTTGTTACTGTTACAAAACGAACATATCCTTTCATTGCGAGGGATTTTTTCGTATCTACCTGTATCTACTAAATCTAATTTTAACTAATGCTTTTCTTGAGGGTTTTCTTTCTTGTTAAAACCAGGTTCGGCGAGGGCTATAGTCCTTTTAATTGTACAATAAAAACTGATTTTTGTTTAGCCCAGATACGTGGGAGTTCGCTTTGAATTTATAAGAGAATGCATAAACAAAATACGTCCTAAACTCCATTTTTTGTCAAAGATAGAAATAAAAATGACTCACCTTGTGGTTTTGTTTTGTTATTTACTGTCTGTTTGCTTCTAGAGCCATTTGGAAGCCGTTTGATCGACGTTTAAGATTTCCAGTTTGAGTTGTACCATCCAAACCAAATCTCCCATACCCTCCCCCGCCACTATTCTGTGAATGTGTCACGTGACACTGATCATGCGAAAGCACGGTTTCCGATTTCATTGGATTTGTATGCAAAGTACTTTGTAGATCTTTTGTAGCAAATATATCTGCTTCAGCAACCTTTTTATGAATACAAAGCAATGCGCTAACTTGGAATCATAAGAATATGACAGGTTACGCGTCCAGGACTTCACAAGCGGCGCTCATAAGGTACACCGTAATTTTTAGGGAGTTATTATAACTCCAAAAATGGAGTAAAAATTTTAGGTACAGGATAACTCCTTTTTTGGGGTTATTTTAACTCCTAATTTAACTCCGAATTTGGGGTCATTTTTACTCCTGAAAAAGAGTTCTTTTTACTCCCAGTCTTGGAGTTAAAATTACTCCGAAATGGGGTTACTTGTACTCCTTACAGGGGTTGTTTTTACTCTTTTTGGAGTTAATTTAACTCTGAAAGTGGAGTAAAAATTTTAGGTACAGGATAACTCCTTTTTTGGGCTTATTTTAACTCCTCAATATCTGGGGTCACTTTTACTTCTGAAAAAGAGTTCTTTAAACTCCTTTTTGGAGTTAAAATAACTCCACGAAAAATAACTCCACTGTAAGGAGTTAAATTAGCCCCACTAGAGGAGTTATTATAACTCCCTGAAAATTACAGTGTACGTACGTACTAAATCACCATCGGGTTTGAATGGCGGCTTGCGGGACAAATCTGCGGTTGCATGGTCTCCTACAATCATAGCACGTTGAATAGACGTTTTTCATGTCGTCTCTTGCAAAAACAACTTACAAGCACGTGATCTTGTAATTTTTATACTCTATTACGAGAAATGGTAGGTAGAAAACAGCTAATATAGAGCAGAGCAACTACAATGAGTTGTTTATGTTTGGATCAGAGTTGGATAGAGAAAATTATGGATGCAGCTGCATGTCTAATTGATTCAGTTCAATTGTTCCTGGTTAGACGAGTTACCTTTTGCCCGTAGACTGTATCAAAGAATAAAATCTTTCAAAAGTTGTTTCATATTCTTAGGGGTTTCGTGAATATTGGAAAGTAATCGAACGTCGGCAAGGTTTCTAAAATTGCTGAAAAGCGAAAAAAAAAGTTGTAGTTTGAGATATACCAGCTGACCCAAAAGAGGCCAAAGTGGAATAATTTCAGGAAAGTTTCCAAATTTCATTTTGGTAAATGCTGAGGAACAAGATAGGTCGCGCCATAAGTGTCCCCAAGTGTGCACCACCTTGCTTATTACTCCATTATTCAGTTGGGAATGAAGGGGTAAGAAACAAGGTACCCCTTTTTTAAAATTAAAAACATTGAATTAGTTTCTGTCAATAATTTTTATCAACAAAAACAACAACAAAAGGAACCTTTATTTACTTCACATAATATATAGTAGTGCTGGCCCGCAAATTAATAACAACAATAATAATCAAAAAAACATATTAAGTACAAATTTAGTATAACTATTTTACTTTGCGTTATTTTCCTCACTTATACATTGTCCGTGACTGTGCTCACATGGTGGGTGGCTCCTCCTAAAATGTTCTGCAATTGGTATAGGATTTAATGGAGCCGAAACCAATTGTGGAATTGTACGCATTTTAGGCATCCTACTGATGAACAGTTGCGACACGTAGATATATATTTTTTAGCAACTAAGATAAGTTGCAGTCTGTCTACTTTGAATTGTATAGTTAAAAAAGACTTCTTGGTGGTCCGGTTATTTTTAACAGAGCAAATGTAAACTGTCTATAAACTAAAAAATGAAAATTTCTATGTACATCCCAATAATAAAGTATCTATAGCTGTTGAGTTTAGAGAACGAAGTCCTGCTTGACCCTTCTCTATTTCTAGATCCCTGTCCTTAACATCTAAGTTCTTCCTTCTCGGGGTTCTCGATCCCCTTAGGCATAGGAGCCCGCTCCGCAAAATTGCAAAGGACACTTTCGCCCTGACCCATGAAATTGTTGTGGCGTAGCTCTCTTGCTTTTTTGTAGATAATAGCTCGGCTAATGTTGAGTGGTATCTCAGGCATTCGTCAGCCATCCCTCCCGTCGTTGTAAATACCAGTGGGGTGAATGTGCCCTGCTCTATTTCTGTGACGCGAGAGTTGTATTTTCGCTTCTTTTCATTTTCATGAATCCTGTAGATTTGCCTGGGGCTAAGATCTCTATACGAGTCCGCATTGGGATGACACACCCTTATATTGAAAAATGCAGCCCTCTGTCGCTCCCAGAAACCCCTGCGGAAGCATGCTCCCAAACTTCCCTAGTGGCTCACCTCTTCAGTGCTCGTCTGATTCGTCGGTCATAAAAAAACACGATTTTATAGACTTAAGAAGTTGGACAGTCTTTCTGTGTACACATGACACTGTCAAAAAAAGCCCTCGATTATATATTATACTCTACGTTCGACTCCGCTAAAGGAGAAAATAGCTAAGAAGACAGTAAGTCTCTTAATTAGCAAGTCGGAAGGGTCCAGCACTGTATGACACCTAGCCTCCCCGCAGACGTCTTTGGGGTTCGTTCGTCACGTATCAGGAGTCCGTATTCATTTCTCCCCCTCGGTCCGTGGGGTAGAAATGAATGCGTGACGAACGAACCCCAAAGGACGTCTGCGAGGAGGCTACATGACACCTCTGTTTTGTCCAACTTTTCTTTATTGCAGCCAAATCTGGCATCATTGTGGGGCTAGAAACACTAGCAAGCTGGAGAAAGTCCGCTCTTAGGTATTTTTAGGTATTTAGGTATTTTTATTTATTTGCCACACAATTACATTACTTAAAGATGCCAAAAGAAAAAAAAAAAATGTAGGAAGAGATGGCGAGGAGGCCTAAAAGAAACTATAGAGCTTATGTTAATTAGGCCTCCTCAATTACAATTTTTCGAAGATGGCATAAAAATTACGGCGACGGGTACAGTATAATATCAGGTGAAAAATTAAACTAATCAATATTACGGAAGTTTACATGTACAAATGTTGAATATTAAAAGGCTTTTTCCCAAGATTTTTGTTGAAGTATACTAATAATTATTACAAATAAATGCCTTAAGTGCTCTTTTAAAGGAGAAAGGTGAGGAAGCGTTGATGATGTTGGTGTTTAAGGTGTTGTAAAATTTAGGTCCTTGATAAAAAACGGAAAATTGCTTGGTTCGAGTACGACAGAAAGGCAGACGAAATTTACACGAGTTTCTTGTATTATACGAATGAATTTGACTTTGTAAGGTAAATTTACAATGAAATTTTAAAGGTAGAGTATGGTTTTGATAGGAGTACATGAATAAGCCTAGTTGTATTAAGTATATATCATGAAATTTTAAGATACCAAGATTTTGAAAGATTGGATCAGTATGTGCATCGAAAGTGGTTTTAGCTATAGTTCTGATCACTCTTAGATTCATTAACGAGGACAATTCTACATCCTCATACTTTGTCTACGTGGATAGGCTTACACAGCACGTTAGAAAGCCGTGGATTCAGGAAATGTTATTATCCGTAGACAGTTGTTTACAGAGAAGAGCGCCGGCGTGGTTTAATCGTTTTATTATTTATGTCTCAACGAATAATTAGAACCCCATTTTTGTTTCCAGGTAGGCGGGGGGTACGCTTGAAATCACGATCTTCGCCTTATTCCTGACCGTTCACTCTGTGGTCAGCGTTTTCATTTTCGCGTCGCTTCTTGCAGCTAGGAAATATGGTTTGCAAAGTGTCTTTTGACGCGGTTACATAAGACACGTCTTAAATAAGACACAAACTTTGTCTTTACCATTAATAGGAGCAAGCGAGGAGTGCCTTAGCTGAGTCGCGTCTTGTTTAAGACGCGAACACGTTTTCTGTGCCATTATATTAATACAAGAAGTTCATAAGAGGCGTCTTATTTTCCCCCGATTTTTTAATAACTTACGATTTAGTTGTGTCGTGAAAATGGCAAGAAAGACACCTGTATTGATTGAGTCATTCTATAATTACTCCAAAAGACTGTAAAACATGATTTTTAATTCTTCTGTTTTTTTAAAAAAGGGAGTACCGTGTGTGTTGGAAATATGGGGGCGAAGGAGTTCATGCCATTCACTCTGGTAAGAATTCACTTGCTTTCACTCGCATAAAAAGTGAATGCCCCCCAGTCATCCCCCGAGGGTTTCAAATGACTGGTGCATTATATCATAGGTAATTTATAATCTTAGAAGTTAGCAATTTATTTTTAATTTTAATTAATGCCATATAATTCTTTACCTTAATTCTACGTGTGGGAACGGCTGCAAATTAGCCGTATGGCTAAGCATATTTACCTCATAAAATGTGTCCTATGTCCTGATAAATAACACATGTAAGTTCTAACTCAGTATTACTGGAATGGTCGAAAATCAATTGTCCTGGATTAATTGATTTCGGCACATTATTTAATGTCAAAGAGTTTCATGTCTGCCTATACATCGGATTATTTGCTTCATCTTTTTTTTTTTTTCATTCTTCGTAAAGAACTTTCACCTGACCCGGAAGATTACTAGAATCAATCCATTCCCGGCCATAATACTTTGATCCATAAAGTTTGAAGGGCACGCTTGGGAAGTAGACATTTTTGTATTCATCTCCTTTGTTTTGCCATTGATACCACAGTTTGTCCATAAATGAATGGTGAAGAAACAGTTCTGGGGCATTTGCTGCTATTAGAGGATTCATCATTGTACCACCGATTGCGTTGTGAGGCAACAAGTGATAGTCTACACGGACAGTTTCTTCAAATTGTTCGAACTCTTCCAGGGGCAGCGATAAAGTTTTCTTCACGTGATCAATATCGTAGAGAAGGCTGTCTTTCGTAAAATTCCTTCTTAAACACCCTCCTCCAGACACGTCTAATAGACGCCATTTATCTTTGCTGAAAGCTCCGTCCTCCACACAGTTGTCATCGGTATAATTTCCATCTCCTCCTAAACCATGATCAGCAGGGTTCCAAAGGTCTTCGTCACCAGTTCCTCTCCACCAATGATGAGTGTTTTTGCTCCAATCCCAGTAGGGTAAAGTCACACGACAGTCGATTCTGCGCAGTACGTTTTCCATCTCAACCAAAAACCACCGGTGAAAGGGCAAAAAGGCTTCAGGAACTTTTGCTTGATCTCCGCCGGTGTTGTGGAGAGCTATCAATTTCTCATAATCTTTCTTAACCACAGGATGGACCGATGCCAGCTTATAAGTGTTAATATAACGTTTTCTGTCCTCGATGGTCATTTTGGTAAAATCCTTTCTCACGCGGTAACAGCTGGTTAGTTTACCTTTCTTGCATTCACAACGCTCTTCACACGTGTTCAACATGAAACTTCCTTCCTTGCACTCCATTGGACTTGAATCGTTAGTGTCCTTTTTTGAATGGCCCGCCTCAAAAACGATCCAGGCATTACTAAGACAAACAACGAACCAATAATGACGAAGCCTCATTGGGTTGACTGCAACATAAAATGGTTGAGAAATTTCAACGGTTATTGTCTAATAGTAATGTTTCCTTTTAAAAGCTGCAGTTCTGTACAGAAGAATTTCCTCCGCGGCCTCTCTTTGGTAGTGGAAAGGGAAGAGGCAACCCGCCGACGATCCTTCTTTTTCACCGTCTTTAGGAGTTTTTCAAGATGTTTTCGAAAATTTGGTCAAAAACAGAATATCTACTTTCCTAGAAAAGGGAGGCTTCCTGAAAGTAAGGCTGGTTCTCTCTGAATTGTTTAATTCTCCATTACTGTTTAATTCTCCATGTATGTCAGTGGTCTGAGCGTATGTATCTTTGTGGCTTTGTGGCTTTGTGGCTTTGTATGTTCGGATGGAAGAGAGAATAAGCTCTCTTGTCGGATGTCTGTTGCAAGGGCCAATAAGGTTGAAGGTACCATGAGTTGATGGGTATTTTGGCATCTAACATGACATTGCTTAAATTGCAATTACCACTGCGACGATCATATCTTCATTTAAGATCTGTATTTTTGCAGTTCTTATAATCTTCATTGCTTCATTCCATTCACGGGTTAAGATGAACTCAACAAATTGGCCTGCTCCCAATGTATGGGTCTTTATAGAATTACAGAATGACTCTGACGCATATGAAAACAAAAAGGCTAACAAAAAACTACACCAAGCGCAATAACAAATTAACTTCACGCAACGCAAAACACGAAAGAAAGAGTAAGAAAAAAATTCGTAATCTCTCGTCTCACGGCTACAATTTGCAACTGCTGAAATTGCAATTACCACTGCGACGGTCATATCTACTATATCTTCATTTAAAAGATAGGGAAAGGTAGACAACGTAACTGAGTTATTTATCTAAAGTTTGGACAGTTGGGCTTTCAAAGACCGGGCAGTGGTCTAAATAACAGAGATGATATAGATTTACTGAGAAAAGTCAAGAGAGAATTGCAGGGCCATGTTTGTCACAGGCCAGGCACTGAGAGGAAAAGTAAGAAACCGGCAAGTTGAGTGCAAGGAGTCTGCAAGGGAAAGCGACAGTTTCAGCAAAGGGGCATAGACGATATAGAATGGTACCTCGAGAAACGTGGGTCTCGGAAAATTTTACCGAATCTCGAAATCTCGGATTTGAAGTGTTTGTGATGGGTCTTGAACTCTTTTTCGGGTGACTTTTGGGTCTCAGAGTTTTGATTTTTTTTTGGCCGAAGGGCCTCGGAGGATTTTTCAGTTTTTTCTTTCCATTTGGTCTTCTGGAGTCGAATTTTTCAGAGTTCACGGGTACAGCTAATCGAACTGGACCAGTTGATTGAGACAGAAAAACAAGACAGTGGCGCACAATTCATCCTCGGAGACCCAGGGGCAAATCTTTACTTTCTTCGCGCCATCTAATGAACATAAGTGCCTTCTTGTGGTTGGAGTTCCTCTCCAAACATTTCAGGCCTGGCCCTTCATCAGTGAAGTTACAAGTACGTTAGAAACGTTGCAAGGTTTCCATTAGTCTCTCCTCCCCACAAGCAGACTAGCAGTTTCTTTACACCATGAAAGAAAAAAATAGTGCGCGCGCGATTCTGCGCGCGGCCTAGAGGAAATGGAAGTCGGAGTTTACCATTAGGGTTCTATTAAGGTAGCCATTTTACTCGCCAGCGGTTTTTAGTTATCTGTATACCTTAAGATATAAGTTAAATGGTAAACTAAAAATACTGGAAATATCTTATAAGTTGCAAATCAACATACCTTTAAAAAACAGCGGTGCTTCTTCTCGCGAAATTATGTGTTTTGACCGACTTGTCAGAGTTGCAAGTGTATTAATTTGTTTTGGTTCTCTGCTTTAAAAAAGTAAATGTCATGAACAAAGAATAAATGATTTTCTATAACCTAGCAACATCTTTTTTTTGTAATAATTTATACATGTGGAGTACATTGAGGTAACATGGCTAAAAAAAAACGATTAATACTAGTTCTTCGAGGCTGCTAAATGGGAAAGAAAACTGGTGAAAGTAACGCGATCTGAAGGAAAAGCTGGGCCTGGTTTGGTCGACGCAGCGCCCACTTTGGTTTATGACGACAATCCAGGGGCCCGTTACTCGAAAGTCTCGATAACTTTTCGGTCCCGAAAAGCTATTTTATGTTTGCCGCGTTTGCATTCAATAAAATTTTCAGTTAACAAAGCAAAATTGACCGGTTTGTAAGCTAGGAACTGTGCTATTATACAACAGGTTTTGATTTAAAATTTGCTTTGGGACCCAAAAAGTTACCGAGCCTTTCGAAAAACGGGCTTCAGAAGCGAATTGATAGCCGTCTGCGTCTACCACTGACAATACACATGCATGTATACGATGATTTGTACGTGTGAAGAAGATAATCGTAGTAGTTCTCCGCAGTACAGTCACATAGTTTTCGTTGTCCCTGGGGATAGCCCTTAAATTTTCTCTAGATTCAAACAACGGGCACTTATTTCTTGCCCAATCAACAGATCCGAATAAAAGTTAACCTCGCTAATGCGGACACTTCTTTAACTTTGCGCTGTAATCCTTTCCATCGACAGCATGTCGATGTCCTTAGTGCCACAGTTGTAGTATAAAAAATAAGAGCCCTGTTACACCCCTCTTTTTGTACACAAGTAAGCCTCCATTCTTCACTGATAAAAAAAGACTTCCTCGTAAATACATTTTTGCTGCCCTCACTCCGCTCGGCTAGCAAATTTGTTTACTAGGAAGTCTTTTTTTTCGAACAATGGAGGCGTACTCGTGGACAAAAACAGGGTGGTTTAGACAGGACTCCTATTTTCTATACTACACTCTTCAGGAAAACTCACATTGAACCGGGGCGCTCGTCTGTCACAGAAACGAAAACCAATTAGGGATTTGCATTGTAACAGTATGCATTTCATGCCGCCAAACGCTTCTCGAACGATGTTTTGGAGATGTTGCGGATCGAAGCCTGTTTCAAAAAGGTTTTAGACGCTTTTTTCAAAGAGGTTTTCAACGATGTTTTCGAAGAGAGATCTGAAGATTTTTACGAAGAAGGTGCAGAATTTTTTTATGAAACGTTTTTCGAAAACGTTTACAAAAGGGTTTATGAAAAGGCTTACGAAAAGGTTTTCGAAGTGCGTTTTGAAGGCGTTTTTGGAAAAGGTTTCGAAGAGTTCTACGAAAAGCTTTTCAAAGATTTTTTCAAATGTTTTCTTTAAAATATCTATTCGGAGAAGCAAATACTGCCCAGAATTTTCTATTTGAGGACGGCTAAATATTTGTAGATTACCATTCCACCATGTACAATTTTCGAAGCTTATCTTACAAATAAAATTTCCTACGACTTTCTGAAGTTTAATTTTTGCATTTTACGTCCCAGGTTAGGCTATTTTTCATAGAAAAAAGGAAACCTAAATTTTTCGGATTCAAAAATGTGATGGAGAGAGGAATTAGAAAATGTCTTACTCTCGTAATACGTTAAATTTCATCTAAAATTTTCGGGAAAATATTACTCAAGCCCGAAAAGACTCAAGTTCCCCTTGGTTGACCGAACAGAGGCAAATTTTACAGTGCCGCTTAGAATGCTTTTCTAGAGTTATAAAAGTACTCTGGGTAGCCTAAAAAACTGTTTTCAGTGTATTTAGGAGGAAACCGTCGTTGGGTGCCCTAAAAGAAAAACATCGCCACAATTGCCAACCATCCACAATAGGACCATACGGCCATTTTTCCCACTCCAAAGCCCTTTCCTTCGGCACTCTTGCATGAGTGACAGGCCCACGTCCAAAGATTTCTTCCACCAACTTTTGCAATGTGGCGCAGTCCGAGCACCAATTGTTTTCGTGCTTTGTGCAAGCTCACAAAAACAAGAACGAGAACGCAAAACACAAATCAAAGAATAAGAAAATTCCGCAATCTTTCGTTTCAATAATATCAAACCGAACGTTTTATAGCCAAAAAAGTAGCAACCGCCAATTGGCAATAAAAAATGGCAAAGTTTCTCGCTGGTAATCGAACTTTAGATCTCACTTCAACGCGACGTAATGGATATTGATAATTTTACGGAAATGAAACTGGTAAAAATTAAATTTTGTCACTTGTGACTCGTTTCGCCCATTGCTTCTTGAATTGGTAACATGGACCGCGGTTTGGTGCTTTTTTGGTAAGAAAACTTTTTTTCGTTTAAGAATAGGTTTTGACAGGTCAACAGTGTTTTTGTTCGATTAATAAAACATTTTTTAGAAGCCTTTTCTTTAAGAAAAATTTAGTTAATTTTTTTACTTCTCATTAACTTGCATTTCACGTTTAACAATTATTCCTCGAGCCCGAATGGGCTATTGACTCAGGGCCATGAGGGCGAGAGGAATAATTGTTTTGGTAAAATCCAACTAGTTGGTCAAAAATATCGAGAATAAAAAACTTTTAGTTAGTTAAAGCTAGAATTTAATCCTTTTTTGCCGCCTAAAAGCCCGCGCTTTTCGCTGCTAGTGGGCTATAACATATAGCCTAGTAGTAGCTCCTCCAATCAGAAGGAGGCCAATCACTAGTTGGATTTTACTCATTATTATTATTCTTTTCATAAAATGTTCGCATAATAAGGTTAGGTTGAATTTTTTTCTTGCAGTGAGCAGTTTTACTCACCTCAGTGAGTAGCGGCGGTCTTCAACAACTTCACTAAATCACACCTACCTCTTCCCACGTATAGTTTAGGTAAATCTTTACAGACGTCCCACAGCAAGTTTCTGCAAGTGAACCCTCTGGTTTACAGCCATTTTCCCCTCAATGTGTAAGAATGGAGCTCCGCCTCTCGTTGGTGGCCGTGAGTGATTGACACATTCGTTAATAGACCACGCCCCGTTTTCTGCTCAGTCCCTCAACGCACGTGGCTGTATCGAGTTGCTATGATAATAAAAGAGTCAATGGCCCCAAATTACTATCATCAAAACAATAACTGTTATTATTGCTTTCATAATTCACGCTTTGTCTATTGTACTGACAAAATTTTTGTTATAATTTAGCAAGCATAGCATATTTTTTACCTTTTGTCTAAACTTAGCACTGCTAGCAAAATCTGGCATTTTTTTGTTTTTAACCTGTTGTTAGGTTTTCTTACTGTTAAGGCTTTTTTTTGCGGAACATTTAAAAAAGATGAGTTGAAAAAAAAAAAGGAAAAAACCATGACATATAACAACATAAAGAAAGAAATCCTTAATTCTACGACAATCGTTACACAACGCGAAATATCATTTCGTCAACGCAAAACATGACTTAACACTTGACAAACGCTGCTTGGAATTAACAACACAGTTACTAAAACAACACACCGACTACGTTATACACTAAGTATCACACTAAACACTAAACAGACGCTACCTGAAATAACCAAATATATAACTGCTTTATTAGTTAAAGAAGTTGTGGTCTAGCTAAAGTTCCTTTAACGGCAAGTGATGTTATTATTTTCGTAACTACTGCGCTAGCGCGAGTAGTCACTTTTGCCATCGAGTTAGTTTTCCGAAAGTGAGTAAGAGTAACAATAGAATATACTTCGCAGCCAATAAGCATACAAAGATAACCATTTTTTGGAATCTTTCGTCGCGACTATGATTATGATTTGTCGATAGTCCTCGATGGTAAAGGAAATGCTAGGCTGCCTCGTGGTCTGCTTTGACAGCTTAAGGCTGGTTTTCACTAGCGACGGAGTTGGATTCGGAGTCGTAATCAGAAGCGTAGAGCTTATGATCTAGTGAAAACAACGTTCCGATTCCGTTGACGACTCGGTCGCTTACGTTCCGCTTTTGATCTAGTGAAAAACAGATTGTCGTAGTCGGAAGCAAGAACTAAACCAATCACAAAGCGTGAGAACGTGCATTGTGATTAGTTTATCCCTCCGCCTTTTGTTCCGACTCCGACAATCTGGTTTTCATTAGATCATAAGCGGAACGTAAGCGACCGAGTCGTAAGCGGAGTCGGAAGAAAATGGAAACGTTCTGATTCTTCTGACTCCGATTCCGTCGCGCTTATGACTCCGCTTACGACTCAGATTTTTTATTTGCACTAGGTTACAAGCGTTCTTGCTTCTCCGCTTATAACTCCGACTCCGATTCCGTCGCTAGTGAAAACCAGCCTTTAGTGAGACAAGTTGCGCGTATTCAAGTTTGAAAATATGTTGCCATATAACTGAATGAAAACGCAATGAAATACGTCATATCTCAAGAAGCGTATCTTCACTTCTCATCTTCAAAATAAGTCGTGAAACCCGTGAGTATTACCTCTGTTCAATATACCTAATGTGATGACTCGTCACTTTTTCGATGGGCAACACGGAGACAAACAACAATTTCTTTCGCAAATTTAAGTACATAATTTACTTATCGAGACCATTTGAGGACGATTTTCCAGTTCGTTATTTGCTTCATTACTTGGCGGCTTATTTCGGCTACGTGTGAGGAGTTAGATGACAGTGTTTGTGTGCTATAATTAGGCTGATAGATTCTTGCACCTTTGTATTGAAACACATGAAAGCCATACTTGTTTAACCCGAGCAAAAAACTCTCCTATTATGGAGAAACTTTTCCTAATGGTTGCATTTGCTCTCTGCAACCTCGTGGAAATAACCTGATGGTTACACTAAAATTTAATGATCACTGCATTTCGGCTCTCCGTAATCTCGTGGGTAGAACACACCTGATGGTTACACTAAAATCTAAAAAACTGCATTTCGGCTCTCTGTAACCTCGTGGGTAGAACATACCTGATGGTTACACTAAAATCTAATTATCACTGCATTTCGGCTCTCTGTAGCCTCGTGGGTAGAACATACCTGATGGTTACACTAAAATCTATTAATCACTGCATTTCGGCGTTCTGTAACTTCATGGGTAGAACATACCTGATGGTTGCACTAAAATTTAATAATCACTGCATTTCGGCTTTCTGTAACCTCGCGGGTAGAACATACCTGATGGTTACACTAAAATCTAATAATAACTGCATTTCGGCTTTCTGTAACCTCGTGGGTAGAATATACCTGATGGTTATGCCAAATTCTAATAATCACTGCGTTTTCTCTTTGTAAACTCGTGGGTAAAAAATTGAATGCCTCTCTCCTGGAAATTTTGTCCTCTCCTTTGATAAGGCGGTAAAAGTTATCTTTATAAAATTCGCCATGAAGAACAAAATAAGCTGAAGGTTTCTAGCTAGCCCGAAGAACACCTATTCCTGAAAAGCAGCCATGATTCCTTTCTCTTAGAAAAGAAAATGCATGTCCCCGTGTACCAGATTTTTACCAGCAGCAATTCGTCGATGTTTTGCTACACTGAGTGAGAACGCGACAATCACTTCAGATGCTTTCATTGACATGAATTCCTACTTCGATATGTCTAATTTAAGCTTCACCGTGTGATAGCTCTTCATCAGCGAAAAGTTCTAAGTGATATTTTGATTGACATGTTGTTTAGGATCCCGAGGTTTTTAAACATCTTCTCTCTGGCTTAACTGGTGAAGGTATTTTAGAAATTTTCCCTTCAATTCCAAATTCTTTGATGTGCCGCCAGATGCCGTGCAAAAATATCACCGCTTGCGGCTCCTCGTATCTCGGTTATCTCTTTGGCAATAATGGAGCTTTCAGTTCACGCATGTAACTTTAAAGTGCACTTAGGTTTACTGTAGTCTAAAAACAGTACAAGAACAGACTCAGAGTACTAGTTCAATAAAATTGACAAGTCACAGGCATTTTAATTTTCTAAATTTCGAACAAGTGGCCCTATTAACAAGGTGAAATTAGCAGAGATTCTACTGTTTGGGATTTTAAAATGTGGCCATTGGCCGTATTAACGCGTGACAGCATTAACGTCTTTTTTATAAGAAAATGTATGGCCGTTTTGCCGGTCCAAAAAAAAATGACCGTAACAACGAGGTGACTGTAAGGCGGGGTTCCACTGTAGTGGAAAGCGCTATTTACACCACATGACGTCACAGGTGAGCCTGTCAGATTTCTAGATCAGTGGAACGGGCGTGCGAAAGAAGTATAGAAAAATTCGTAGAAAAAATCACGTTTTGTTCAAATCGCAAAATTTTATCGCAGAAGTTGTTGTAGTAATGTGTTCAGTTCAGATACGAAAAAAATAATAAAAATAATTATAAAAATAGGTTATAGGCACTGAGCCTGAGCAGGAGAAATTCTTGGGGAAACGCGAGTGATGATCATGAGGACATAGAAGCAAGCCAAGTCATAACGCTGACTAATAAACAATTACAGCAGCTGTTACTTTTGCAACAAAAAAATGTTGCGTTTTATGAGTAATTAGCAGTGGGTTATGAAGAAAAAGGGCTCTTTCAGTTAAAGGGCAAATTTCTTTCACAGTCAGTATCGTTATATTGACTTATTCACAAAGAACTCTTCTACACAGGTTAAACGAACAGCATTAGATTGAGCAGTTTTTCATTGCATCGTAAAGAGAAAAAGATTGATAAAGATTAGATCCAACCTAAATTATTGTATGAACCGTTTTCCTCTCAAATCTCTCCCGAACCAACGGCTATGAAGAAAACATATTTAATAATTATTCCTCGGGCCCGAATGGGCTCTGAGTCAATAACTAGTGGGCTATAACATATAGCCTAGTAGTAGCTCAACCAATCAGAACGCAGCATTGATAATAGACCACTAGCTGGATTTTACTAAAACGAAATGTCCAACATTACTGAGACCTTTCAATTAGACTGGGAAATAATTTATTCCTTTACTTTTCAAAATAACGCTGAACAAAGCTAAGATAATTTTACTACCAAATACCTCATAGAATCTTTTATACTAACGCTAAGTTCAAATTTGGTTGCATAAGGGATCTATAAAAGATCTACGGCCCCAAAATACAAAGATCCGATATGCTGTAATTCTTGCATGGTTCTGTCCATGTTTTGGCCAATCCTTTATTTTCTCTGCGAGACATCAACTTGACACTTGGACTCTTACACCCCCCTCCCCCCAACCCCCGTGGTACACGTGTTATGGCGTGATTCTGTGGGTGTTGAGGGTTCTAGGTTTAAGTCAGTGTGCGCGGATATTTTTCATCAAATTTTACTCTGGTTGTTACGCCATACTGACGAGCCCCAAAAAGGGCGAAACAGCTGTCTATGGCTACAATCCCGCTCTGTTTTTGATTCTGTCGGTGTTGTGTTGATGTCTTCAAAATTAACTTTCACGTGGTACGATCAGCATTGCAGTATTCTGCTTGCAAAATTTAATATGTCTACCATTCTTAAGTTGCAGTCATCCTAACTCGTGTACTCCATGTAGCTGACCTCTTTTTGTTTTGTGGTATGATTCTTGCTTCATTCCTCGCCTGAATTTCCTTGTCAGTTACAGTAGGGGTCTTTTCTTTATGTTATTATGTTATGTCTTTTTTTTAAGTTTTGCCCCCAAAAAACCTGGCAAAGGGTTTAAAACAAAAAATGCCAAATTTTGCTTGGAATGCTAAATTTAGATAAACGCTTAAAAATATGCTCTGTTTGCTAAATTATGTCAAAAGTTCTGCTAGCACAATCGACAAAAGCGTGAATAATTAAAACAATAATAACAGTAATTGTTTTGATGATAGTTGAATTATTGACGTATTATCATAGCAACTGAATACAGCGACGTGCGACTGAGCAGAAAGGGGCGTAGTCTATTAACAAATTTGTCAATCACTCATTGTCAGCAACGAGAGGCGGAGCTCCCTCGCTCATACACATACACGGGTATATATATGTGCAGGAAAAGTGGCTATAAACCAGAGGTTTCACTTGCAGAAACTTGCTGTTTGCGACGTCTGTAAAGATTTACCTAAACTGTATCTGGGAAGAGGTAGGTGAGCTTTAGTGAAGTTATTGAAGAACCACTTGAATTAATTTGTCATGTTCTTGACCACTGCTACTCATTGATAAAAGTGCTCAGTACTGGAAACAGCAAAATTGAAGTATTCCGTAAAAGGCTTTGAGCTAAAGTGTTGACAGCATTAACTCAAAGAAAGCCAACAAAGGAATCAAATTTAAGCACAAACCAGTTGTGAGTCTTGAAGTTTTAAACACTTTCCGATCTGAACTGTGAGCGAATTATCACCCATTTTCATGTAGACTCTTCTAGTGACCTTGTTGCAGTCAAATTCCTCGACTTGCTAGACATATTCAATCCTGAACAACACGTAAAGAGGCGACTCATCACAGTGGTCACACCCTTGACCTCGTGATCACTACAATTCTTGGTTTGCACGTGACGTCACCAAAAATCAAACTAAGAATCTATCGATTCTTCTGAGTTTCTACTTTCACGAGGTGTTACAGTACCTAAACACCTTAACATAAACAAATTTTTGCTTCGAAAGGGTTCTTCGTTTTGCGAGAGAGGACGCTTGAATTTCCAGGATGTTGCGTGACGCGGCATTTAGCTGGCGGCCGGGAGAGCTCTTAT